GCCGTCTGTGAGGCCTCTGAGACCTCAGCTGCTGAGGCTTCCAGAGAGGCCCCTGGGTGGCCCCAGAGGCTGCAGAGACCAAGAATCAAGACCAGAGGCCACAGGCTGCGGTAGCGCCTCCCTCCACCGTCCCGGTCCCTCCAAGGACCAAGGACCCGTACGTGTGTGATTAAGGATCCCCCGTGTGCCGTGCTCCTCTGTGGCTGTGTTCTGTGCGGGCTGTGCACGTCCCTGTGTTTACTGTCCCTGTGATGTGTGTTCGCAGTCGTCCCAGCTGCAGCTCAGCCCTCTCAGCAAATGCATGTCATGCTCCCCGCCCCACAAGAAAACCTGGATGAAGCAAAGCTTTGCATCACCCCAGTGTCCTACAGGGAAGAGCAGATATGGTATGTTGGGTCTGTATATCACACATTTAATAAACAGATCACTGAAAGTTGCAAAGTGCTTATGTGGAACTGATGCAAAAGAAACAAACAAACAAACAAACAGCCAAACAATACTAGAACCCTTTAAAAGTTCATGGAGAGGGACTAGCAGTTAGTGTAATGGCTGTGTCGCCGAACTGCCATGTAGCCGACAGCAGTTCAAGTCCCGGACCTGGTGGCTTTAAAGTCACGCCGGGTGTATGTGCATGTGTTCTCAAGATGCTGAGAGGAGAATGGAGGAGAGGGGATTGCAGTGTGGCCACCCCCTGGGGGGGAGTGATTTCTTGCTTTCTGTCTCTCTGTCTCTCTCTGTCTTTCTGGCAAGTGCACACGCCCTATAGCAAAAAACTCTCAAAAAAAAAGTTCAAAGAAAAGAAAGTTAAGGTTTATTTTGATGAAATAAAATTTTCTAATCCATCTATATTTTTCATAATATGCTTTTTCATGAACTTGTTGAGGACCCCATGTATAGTGATCTTGCTTCTGAGGAATGTGATGTAATGGATCCGTTGTGAAGACTGGACACACAAATGCAAACTCTGAAATAAAAATGGCAAAACAGCCAAACTAAAATCTATAGCAATCTTGTAAGACATTGGGTCTTGCGATTTAGGGATACAGGGCTTTGGAATTGTTTATGCCATATATGACCAATCGTCCGCCTGGCTGGTTATAAGTCAATCACTAGAGTAGATATTACGGAGCAGGTGGGTCTCACCCTCTCTTGAGTCAGAATCTGCATTTTGTAAAGCCTCCCCTAATTCTGATTACCAGCTTCAGGAACCGCTCTTACTGTATAGACAGAAGTGGAAATCAACATTCTTGTTCCTGAATAGCTCACAATCTAGTTTGGGAGACAAGAGGAACACACACAGTAATACAGGGTGGTCAAGATATGATGTAATGTGTGTAATGTGAATAGTGTCATAGCAGCTCAGAGAGTGGACAAAGGAAAAAAGAAGGGCCGTCTACACTGGTAGAATACTACCAGCAAAGGGTCAGAGACAGAGGGCTGGGGGAGCTGTGAGGGGTCGTGGAGTGAGATGCTGGATTACCATCTGTGGCCTCACTGAATGCAGAAGCCTCAACAGCTTGGGGGCATGCAGAGCCAGGGAGCCCCCAGGAGAAGTCCTAATGACCTTCAGACAGTACGGTTCCAGATCTTCTGCCCACAGCAAAGTGAAACTGAGGCAGTGTGAAAAGTCAGATGCTTCAGGACGCATGAGGACCCTGGAGGAAGGAAAATATAATCAGAGCAGTAAGCGTGTGCTGTGCTCTTCCCAAGTGCTGGGAATTCTGCAGTTTACAGTATCCTTTCATCCCTCCAGCATCCCTATCAGGAAAAACGACTATCTTCCCTATTTTGCAGATGTCAGAACAGTCTCTGTCTCCAGAGCAGAGTCACCAAGGCCACACAGGTCGCAGGTGGGGTGGAAACAGGGACGGCTGATTCCCTCAGCCCAGCTCTGGAACTCTGCTGGGGGCTGTGCAGCTGGGACAGGCCCTGCCTGGGGAAGGCAGTGAAGCACCCTGGGCAGCAGTCGCCTCCAGGTGCTGTCTGGGACGTCCTCCCACTGGGAAGGCTGTTCCTGTGCCCAGCACAGGGCCCAGATCAGGAGCGCCCTCTGGTCAAGGCGTGGGGTCCCCTTGCACTGGGAATGGCAGAGGGTCTGGCAAGTGGGAACTTTGACCCAGGTAGGTTTTAGGGTGGGAGGTGGGGGGTGTAGTGCTGTCAGCCTGCAAGTGCAGGGACAGCTGTGTCCCTGCTCATGACTCCTGGGCACCTTCCTGCCTGCTAGAGCCTCTGCTCTCTGCCCTCCTTCTCCACCTGGAGTGAAACAGCCACTAATTTGGTTGTCCTCCCTAATTCCTGTTGTCACTGGGGCAGTGACCTCACCAAACCCCTGCCCAGAAAGGCCCCAGGAAGCGAGGAGGGAGCTGAGCAGAGGCTGTGGTGGAGCCTGGAGGGCTGCTGGGAGGAGCTCGCTGGAGCCAGGACACAGCGGAGGAGCGCGCGCTGCAGCCAGATCGGTGGGGACACTGCACAGCCCTGCCAGGCGAGCTCCCGGGGTGGTGGCAGCTGGAGACGCAGCAGAGGAGCCATGTTCCCAGGCTGCCTCTGCCTCTGGGTGCTGGTCGTCCTGGGCTCCCGCTGGGCAGGCTTGGGGAGCCATGGGGCTGGAGCCGCGCGGATCAGGCAGTTCTACGTGGCTGCTCAGGGCATCAGCTGGAGCTACCGCCCCCCGCCCGCCGACCCAAGGTAACTCAGGGTGGAGTCGCGCTTCCCCAGGGAGGGCAGTAGGTTTCTTTCAGAGAATATTCCCTAGGCAACACCCTGTCTTGTTTTCTTTCTTTCTTTCTTTCTTTCTTTCTTTCTTTCTTTCTTTCTTTCTTTCTTTCTTTCTTTCTTTCTTTCTTTCTTTCTTTCTTTCTTTCT